GTTTAATCCTTCTCTAGACAACGCTCTCCAGCGACTACAAAACTATCCTTTTTATACAGTCCTCTTCAGCGTCTAAAAACTATCCTTTTTATTTATACATATATATATATATCTAAAAATATATGTCCTTCTCAAGACAACGCTCTTCAACTTGGCCCTATCATTTACAGGACAGTCCTCTTCAGCGTCTAAAAAACTGTCCTTCTGAAGACAACGCTCTCCAGCGACTACAAAACTATCCTTTTCAGGACAGTCCTCTTCAGCGTCTAAAAAATGTACTTCTGAAGACAACTGCTCCAGGAACTATCCTTTTCGGACAGTCCTTTCCCTAAAAACTGTCCTGAATTTAAACGCTCTCCAGCGACTACAAAACATCTCAGTCCCAGTCCTTTCAGCGTCTAAAAAACTGTCCTTCTCAAGACAACGCTCTTCAGCGACTACAATATGTTTTACAGGACAGTCCTCTTCAGCGTCTAAAAAACTGTCCTTCTGAAGACAACGCTCTCCAAAATATTACAAATGTCTATCCTTTTCAGGACAGTCCTCTTCAGATGCATTGAACTGTATTCCAACGTCCGACTCAAAATTATCCTTTTCAGGACAGTCCTCTTTAGCGTCTAAAAAACTGTCCTTCTCAAGACAACGCTCTCCAGCGACTACAAAACTATCCTTTTCAGGACAGTCCTCTTCAGCGTCTAAAAAACTGTCCTTCTCAAGACAACGCTCTCCAGCGACTACAAAACTATCCTTTTCAGGACACTCCTCTTCAGCGTCTAAAAAACTGTCCTTCTGAAGACAACGCTCTCCAGCGACTACAAAACTATCCTTTTCAGGACAGTCCTCTTCAGCGTCTAAAAACTGTCCTTCTCAAGACAACGCTCTCCAGCGACTACAAAAACTATCCTTTTCAGGACAGTCCTCTTCAGCGTCTAAAAACTGTCCTTCTCAAGACAACGCTCTCCAGCGACCACAAAACTATCCTTTTCAGGACAGTCCTCTTCAGCGTCTAAAAACTGTCCTTCTCAAGACAACGCTCTCCAGCGACTACAAAACTATCCTTTTCAGGACAGTCCTCTTCAGCGTCTAAAAACTGTCCTTCTCAAGACAACGCTCTTCAGCGACTACAAAACTATCCTTTTCAGGACAGTCCTCTTCAGCGTCTAAAAACTGTCCTTCTGAAGACAACGCTCTTCAGCGACTACAAAAACTATCCTTTTCAGGACAGTCCTCTTCAGCGTCTAAAAACTGTCCTTCTCAAGACAACGATCTCCAGCGACTACAAAATTATCCTTTTCAGGACAGTCCTCTTCAGCGTCTAAAAAACTGTCCTTCTCAAGACAACGCTCCAGCGACTACAAAACTATCCTTTTCAGGACAGTCCTCTTCAGCGTCTAAAAACTGTCCTTCTCAAGACAACGCTCTCCAGCGACTACAAAATTATCCTTTTCAGGACAGTCCTCTTCAGCGTCTAAAAACTGTCCTTCTCAAGACAACGCTCTTTCAGCGACTACAAAACTATCCTTTACAGGACAGTCCTCTTCAGCGTCTAAAAACTGTCCTTCTCAAGACAACGCTCTCCAGCGACTACAAAATTATCCTTTTCAGGACAGTCCTCTTCAGCGTCTAAAAAACTGTCCTTCTCAAGAGAACGCTCTCCAGCGACCACAAAACTATCCTTTTCAGGACAGTCCTCTTCAGCGTCTAAAAAACTGTCCTTCTCAAGACAACGCTCTTCAGCGACTACAATACTATCCTTTACAGGACAGTCCTCTTCAGCGTCTAAAAAACTGTCCTTCTGAAGACAACGCTCTCCAGCGACTACAAAATTATCCTTTTCAGGACAGTCCTCTTCAGCGTCTAAAAAACTGTCCTTCTCAAGACAACGCTCTTCAGCGACTACAATACTATCCTTTACAGGACAGTCCTCTTCAGCGTCTAAAAACTGTCCTTCTCAAGACAACGCTCTCCAGCGACTACAAAACTATCCTTTTCAGGACACTCCTCTTCAGCGTCTAAAAAACTGTCCTTCTCAAGACAACGCTCTTCAGCGACTACAATACTATCCTTTACAGGACAGTCCTCTTCAGCGTCTAAAAAACTGTCCTTCTGAAGACAACGCTCTCCAGCGACTACAAAACTATCCTTTTCAGGACAGTCCTCTTCAGCGTCTAAAAAACTGTCCTTCTCAAGACAACGCTCTCCAGCGACTACAAAACTATCCTTTTCAGGACAGTCCTCTTCAGCGTCTAAAAAACTGTCCTTCTCAAGACAACGCTCTTCAGCGACTACAATACTATCCTTTTCAGGACAGTCCTCTTCAGCGTCTAAAAAACTGTCCTTCTGAAGACAACGCTCTCCAGCGACTACAAAACTATCCTTTTCAGGACAGTCCTCTTCAGCGTCTAAAAACTGTCCTTCTCAAGACAACGCTCTCCAGCGACTACAAAACTATCCTTTCAGGACAGTCCTCTTCAGCGTCTAAAAACTGTCCTTCTCAAGACAACGCTCTCCAGCGACTACAAAACTATCCTTTTCAGGACAGTCCTCTTCAGCGTCTAAAAAACTGTCCTTCTCAAGACAACGATCTCCAGCGACTACAAAATTATCCTTTTCAGGACAGTCCTCTTCAGCGTCTAAAAAACTGTCCTTCTCAAGACAACGCTCTCCAGCGACTACAAAATTATCCTTTTCAGGACAGTCCTCTTCAGCGTCTAAAAAACTGTCCTTCTCAAGACAACGCTCTCCAGCGACCACAAAACTATCCTTTTCAGGACAGTCCTCTTCAGCGTCTAAAAAACTGTACTTCTCAAGAAACGCTCTCCAGCGACTACAATACTATCCTTTTCAGGACAGTCCTCTTCAGCGTCTAAAAAACTGTCCTTCTCAAGACAACGCTCTCCAGTGACTACAAAACTATCCTTTTCAGGACAGTCCTCTTCAGCGTCTAAAAAACTGTCCTTCTCAGAGCAACACTCTTTTCAGCCTCTATATGATTATGCATATTTATATTTTGGCTAGTGCACTGAAATCTCATTTTTACTTTTGTATTTTCTTTATCAAAAATATACTTGGCAATATATATTTTACTCAAGTCTTACTTTTGCTTGCTGTTGTCTTCCGTCAATCAATGAATAATCAAGAGTGGTCTCCCCTTGTTTTTTTACTCTCCTCTTTGAGAGAGCTATTTTTGTTTACTGGGACTATAAAAGGACACTATACCCGAACCTTGTGTTTTCAGTTGAATAAAACTTTCTTAAAACCTATACCTGCGTACTTTTGTCATTACAGGAGAATTCATTAATATTGATTAGTCGACAAAAGAAAGTAATTCGTTCAGCAATAAAAAAAAACGAAACAAATAATTTCTTAACGTGCCTGTTTTGATAAATGATTTTTTCTTCATTTAATTTTCCGACGCATGGGACTATAACGTATTTTTCAGCGGTGATATTTAGTTTCTGGTCCGCCTCATAAAATCACCGTTCTCGGTTAAGACACATCAAGGAAAGACACGACAAAAGGCCAAATAGGCCAGTGCATTTGAGCTACCTGAATATTTCAAGTTGGAATGACCGACCTGACTTGAGAAGGAACATTATAAAAGGTTGACAACAGTCTGAGCTCGAACACTGATTACCGGCTTCAAAGAGAAAAACGCAGCTAATCTCAAGTAATATACAGTTCCTTAGATAATGTTAGTCAATATTGATTAGTGTTCACTTATCTACCCCAACACCGGAGATTCTGCACTGGGTAAAAGTGATCTAAGTACAAACAATTTATTTGAGATATCAGAAATACAGCAATTAAATTCAGTATATCCTCGACGAATTCATTAAACGAAAAACAGAAAAGAGAAAAAAAAACACAATCTCACATAAAAACATCTAAAAATCTATTCAGCTAAACTACACGGTATCCATAAAGTCTATTTACAATTTTAAAAAAATCATTGCAAAGGCAAATGAACAGACAAATATGAGGAAATTGTTACAAAATAAAAAGTAGATGTGGAAGTTTTTTTAACTAATTTAATACACCTCTATATAGGCACCATTAGTTCTACGAAGCACACAAAGACGGTACTCAATTTCATGCTGTGTTCGATGTAGCATAACCTCACAAATGGTTTATTATTTGGCTCAAGTTCCTATAAGAGTTGCACTTTGTAAGCGTACAATCGCAAGCTATTGTGTAGGACTTTTTGTACTGTTGAATGTGGCAGCTATAACTCTCTGGCATCAGTACGGTGGAATTCTAGAAGAATGCCGAAAGGCTTGTCTTAAACGAACGATGTTTTCCTCAGGTTGTCCACACCTCCCTTTATCCAAAACTGTCCCTGACTCCATGATTTTCTTGTGCCATACACGAATTGACGGACGTGCCAATGTATTCTTCTATAATTTGTTCTGTAGCTTCGCTGAGTCAGCGTGTCTTATTTTGTTTCAATAAACCACGAAAGCATCGAGCCGGAAGGGAGTTTCACAAGAGAGAAGTGCAAGAAAGGAAACTGTTAGCATAGAATTTACGGTTACACCTACTCAACTCAAATGTAAATAGATGAGACTTATCTGCCAAACTAGTACTGCATTTAAATTGAAAAAGTCTAGGGACCTTAGCGAAGTGCGATATTTATTCCGATATATACACAGAAATGTGGCACAATATTATTCCTAATAATTCTGTATTCCTAATAATATAACCAAACCTTAATTGTGTAAGTCGATGATATATATATATATATATATATATATATATATATATATATATATATATATATATATAACCACATAAGGTAATTGGGGATTTTTCTGTATTTATATATATATATATACACACACACACACACACACACACATATATATATATATATATATATATATATATATATATATATATATATATATATATTTTTATTAAAAACGACAGACAAGGTACTACGATTAAGCTTTTTATTTAATGTGTCTTGTGTTCGAACAAGTGTTTTCTTTTTTGGGTACGAAACGAAAGAAAACGCATATAACTAAGCAGAGAGAGAGAGAGAGAGAGAGAAAGAGAGAAAGAGAGATGGAGGGATTGAAAAAAGCGAATATAATAGAAAAATAAAGAAAACAGCGAGTCAGTAAAAAAGAGAGAGAGAGAGAGACAGGCAGACGGAGAGAGAGACATCGTGAAATGTAGAAAGAAAGAGACAAACTGTGATGTACAACCAAGATAGCAAGATAGAAGGTAATCAAATATAAGGAGAAAGGGAGAAAGAGAGAGGCTGAGCGAGAGAGAGAGAGAGAGAGAGAGAGAGAGATCGGTGAAGAGATATAGAGAGAGGAATTCACAGCAAATATACCGAGAAATAAAATGATATTAATACAGAAGGTGTTGTGCAGAAAGACGATCGACCTTGTCTTCATTAAATGTTGAAGATAGACTCATCCATTACCTATGTGAAGGACGTCCGTTCATAGGAACAGTTGTCAGAAAGTAGGTTGCAAGGCGTAGCGTTGAGTTGTAAGCATTGCTGCACTGAACTACAGTATTTGCTATTATTGTAATATCAATCTCTGTCCGTCATATGGTTAAATATTTTCTTTACTAATCGTTTATCCTGTGTTTTCTCTGCAATATTATTAACCACAATCTACGGCTTTATAAAAGAAAGAAGGAAAGAAAGAAAGAAGGAAAGAAGGAAAGAAGGAAAAAAGAGAAAGAAAGTAACATAGTCATATGGCGAGTGTGAGATCGAAAGACATATCAAAGAGAGAGTGACAGAAATAACTTAACGGACACCTACAATCTTGTTTATAACACACACTAAAACGCATTATGGGAAAATTACATTCAACAAATATTTTTGTCAGTAATAATAAACACGTGAACCAAAACAAATCAAATTCTCTCAGCATTTCGTTCATGCTTCAATTTTTTTCAATGTCCCCTGTGAACGCGCATGCGCGAGATTGTGTCCACGCAGGCGCACACGCTTTCGCAAGGTACATTTAAATAAAAATAGCATTAATAATAAAAACGCCATTACGAGAAGCAAATCATTTCATCATTGAATTTATTTCTTCATCATTTTTTCAGTATCTTTCGCGAGCGCGCATTCACCGGTGCCAAAACAAGTCGACGCATGCGCAATGCTGTCTTATTCTGCAATATTAACAATAGAGGGTTCCACACTGAGTGACCAAGCGTGGTTTCAGCTTAAATTAACATACATTAAATAAGAAAACAAATGATTGTTTCGATCATTTTTGTCAATAAATATTCCTCTTTTATTTGTAATTTTTATTTTAAATTGTACGACAAACAACGCCGCCATAGCTAATTCTTTAGTTTGAATAAATCAAAATTCCAACAACGAATTTTTGAATACGATGCTGTTAACTGTTTTCCAGAAAATAATGTTTTTCTATGTATTTTGTTGACAATATATTTCTCGTGATAAAATGTTTTCGATTGAGTCAGAAAGAGAAAGCTGGCCGACAGAGTGTCAATGAAAGAGGTGGAGCAGTTAGAATCAAAAGGGAAAAACGAGTGAAAAAAAAGGAGTAAGAATGTAAACGTAATAATGGAAGAGAAAACGAAAGGATGCAAAAGAAAGAAACGTTAAAATGAACTTTTGTTAAGATGAGTAAATAGAAAACGGAAAGAAGATACTCACTAACCTCCCCACGTGGTCAGAAGTGGCACAATGTTGAATTTAATGTGGGGTGATCCGGCCTGTAGGCTCGGGTAAAAATTCAACGTAGATCCTGTATACACGGGGTCGAGTAGCTGTCTACCACCCAAGAGGAGACTCTACCCTTCCGCACAACCTCGTCTGAGTTCCTCAGCCCGGAGGGAAAGAGTTTAAAAAGCACACAGGAGGCATATACTATAAAAGATATTCTAACCGATTGTAGTAACCTTGCCCCCTATACGTTAACAATTCTATGATATGACTAGACTAGATGACCTTTTCAAGATACGAATAGAGGCTAGCAGATCCTGCTTGAAAGAGGTTGGTCTACAAAGATAGAACTAATTAAAGTGATGGCACCAACAACCCAAAGGATTGTTTACAAGCCATATAAATTAATAAATAAAAATCCTTTCAGCATTAAATAATTGTTGCGGTGTCCTCCCTCTAAAGAGTCTATGTTGGACTCTTCCGCCTACTATAAGACTAGTAGGAGAGAAAGCCTTGGGGAAACAGTCGAATAGATTGTTCAACTGTCGAACTCTCTGCCTTGAGCATAGAGGAAACCGTACGAGGATTTGTCGAACGGCAAAGTTTCGTCCGGGGAGATAGACAGGCCCTGAACCCTTTTAGGCGGCTTCAAAGGAAATATTTTTGGCCGAGACTACGGGCTCGGAAAACCCACAATAAACCGGTCTTGTGCCACATATATTCCACCTGGGGGGTGTTAAATATTAACAGTCGAATAGATTGTTCAACTGTCGAACTCTCTGCCTTGAGCAGAGAGGAACCCAGACGAGGCTTTGCCGAAGGGCAAAGTTTCGCCCCGGGAGGTAGACAGGCCCTCAACCCGTTTATTTCGGGTTCTAAGGGAATATTCGAACTCTCTGCCTTGAGCATAGAGGAACCTAGACGAGGCTTTGCCATAGGGCAAAGTTTCGTCCGGGGCGGTAGACAGAGCCTGAACCCGTTTATACGGGTTCTAAGGGAATATTTTTGTCCGAGCCTACGGGCTCGGAGAACCCACGCTAACTCTGCCTTGTGCCACATATATCCCTCGTGGGGGCTGTTAATAGTCGAATAAATTGAACGCTGGGTCAACCGACACACACTCACTAGTCGTGTAATATTCTTCTGTTGTGCTTACTGTTTTAATATGATATATCTGCAACACTTGTAAATCTTTTCAACATCAAGTAATCGACAGAATCTATATGCCATAAAAACAATTTTGCTCGACAGTATCTATATTACATATTTATGTCTACCATTCGTCCATGCTTGGAATATTGCTGCCAAATATGGTCTAGTGCTCCTGTTATATATTCAAAGATTCTTGATGAAATGCAAAGAAGGATATGCAATATTATTGCTCCTGACCTGGCATATCGGATTCAGTCACTTTGCCACTTCCTTAAAGTAGCTTCTCTGTGCTTAAACTTTACAAGCCTAAACCCAATCTAGGAGAATGGTGTCGTGGTTTACGTAGGCTCGGGCCAAAATTCAACGTAAACCCGGGGGCTTACAAAACTAGTGTCAAGATGGCCAAACGTCATATGTGAAAACTTGCAAAAAATAAACGCAATTAGTGTAGTGTTTTTTTAGATATTAAACATTTTGTGGGATGGATAATTATGCTGTTACACGATTTGAACTTATCTGAAAATCTGGAAAAAGAAAACTCAGTTAGGTTTGTGTGTTTCTAGATATTGTGGAATGGACTGTTATCCCATACAATGACAAGATTTGAACAATCTTGCTGTTACTCTCCATATAAATATAATGCAAGATTCTTCGGTAATTCGAATCGAGTTCTCTCAGTCACTCTGTCTTTATCTAAAAATAAATACGCTTAAATTCACCTCCATCCCTGCCGGGCGCCAACGGCTTAGTGGTAGTATCCCGGACTGACGCCAATTCAGGTAGAGGCAACCGGACGTCTAGCCACACTGGTGGGCTGTGATGAAACGGAACAGTCTGTGTGTGGATGACAATATATATGCTCCTGAAAAACTTATTTCGGTTGAGCTCTCTGGGGAGGAAGTGTGGGTTTGTAAACAGTAACTATTACGACTAATAATGCAAGACTCTTCGGTAAATCGAATCGAGTTCTCTCAGTCACTGTGTGTTCATCTAAAAATAATTACGCTTAAATTCACCTTCGGCCCTGCCGTGTGCCAACGGCTTAGTGGTAGAACTGACAGCAGTTCCATCGGGTTTCGTGTCTAGCTAGAGGCAACCGAACGTCTAGCCACACTGGTGGTCTGTGATGCAGCGGAACAGTCTGTCTGTGGATGACAATATATTAATGTAGTTATATATATATATATATATATATATATATATATATATATATATATATATATATATATAAATATTTAATATATTTTCTGTTTAAAAATTCTAAAACAATCAGAAAACGAAAGTTGTTTTTTGATTCTGCTTAATAAAGAACGATATATCGTGTGGGTGGAAAGAAATATTTGTGTTAATTTATGAAGTTCCTATTTGATAAAAGCTTTATCTAGTTGGTAAATGTAATCAAGTTTTGCTCTAACTAGTCTGTACTTAAGGAACGAAGGGACAACACCAAAGGATAAACAAGACAAAAGAAATTTTATTTTGGTACGCAATGAATTTAATTTGTACCAAAGCTTTATCAAGTGATTGAGGTCCTTAGTAATTATCACATGGTATCTAAATTTTAAATAATAAAACAAAGACAATTTATTCGGAGATACGTGAGCTATATTTTTTCCTTTTTATGCTCAACTGGATCAAAATATTTTCTTTTCTTTATTAACGTATTTTAATCGTAAATTTATTTGGGTTTTTTTCCTTAATTTTACGTGTTTCATAATTTTAAGCGTGGTCCAGTACTATCTCTTAACAATCCAAATGAGTTAAAATTGCCAACGATTAGTCCCTGATGATGCGTTGGCCGAAAGGCAACCTAGGTCCGGATATTTTAAAAAATGAACATAAAATTATGTTTATTTAAGCCAATATATATATATATATATATATATATATATATATATATATATATATATATATATATATATAGTAAAAAGGCTTACACACTAATATTCCATGTTCATAATTTATTCCATTGGAATCGTAAATACGATCCAAATCATCAGACCTACAAATTCTTCCTCTTGGAAAATTTTTTTTCTGAAAATATACATGTATGGGTATTTTTTTTTTCTGAAAATATACATGTATGGGTATTTTTTATATATATATATTTTGCATATGTATGTATATTTACCACTAATATTATCTATCTATCTATCTATCTATATATATATATATATATATATATATATATATATATATATATAGTAAGGTAAAATCCGATGGTATATAATCCAAGTAGATCCTCGTAATATAGAAATATTAGAACTGATCTACAAACAAGTCATGTATTTTATTTATTCAGAGCAATATAATTAATAATCAAACTAATCCTTTTTACCTCATATGGGAAACAGGCTATTTCGGCTGACGACGAAAGTGGACTTTTTTTCAAACCCGGTGTAGAATGAAATTCACTTCTGTAAAAGTTAGACATATATATATATATATATATATATATATATATATATATATATATATATATATATATATATATATATATATATTTATATATTATATATATATATATATATATATATATATATATATATATATATTATTAATATATTATATATGCATCCCACCACT